TGTGGTTAGAGGTCAGAGGAGTCTCAGTGTTGTGTTCCATTAGGTCAATGCAGCACTCAAACCTAACCTAGTAGTTCAGGGAGAAAATATTTTTTTAATGGCTTGCAATTGCTCCATACGAGGATTAGAGATGGTGTCCAAATGGATTCTGAGTGAGATCCACTGTTTTTGTACTGAGTCACAGTTCTTCTCTCTCTGCCACCATCACTACCAGAGCAACAGGAACCACCACTATTTATCACCTCTCATATTTATCACCTCTCATAGCCGACTTCCCAAAACCAACATGTGACCTTGAAGGACTCTTTCTGCTTGGCAGTAATCATAAGTAATTAGTAGCCAGAGGTGAGAAGGTATACAAGTGCTTTATCTCCAGGTGCAAATTGTCCCAACTGGAAACACATATTATGGTGACATTGCTACCTTTCCTGTGCCCGAAGCCAGTTCTGCCATGATAAGAGCCGAGTGTGTGTGTGTGGAGTTTCTCGGGTTCAGATATCAAAGCTGTGTGGACTAGAGCTGTAGGATGAGTACTGACGTTTAAAAAAGGAGTAATTTACAATTTTTGTTTATCCACAGAAACCAAAAACAGAAAAAAAAAATCGACTGCAGAAATCGGATGGAGTTCATATTCAAGGTGTGTGTGTGTGCGTGTGTGTAATTAATATACACTTCTTTAAAAAATTTAAAGTATATTAAAGTAATTTACAGTGAAGTTTATAGTAAACAGTTTACAGTTACAGCAGCATTATGTATAATCAGACAAAAGTGCATTTCAGTCTGTTTTAAAGTTACAGCTTTACCTCTGACATAGAAAGTCACTGGAGACTCCTTCCATAAATGTTAAATAAACATCTCCTTACAGAAAACTTTACTATATTAACAATACTCATCTTTTAAAAATCTATTTATGTGGAACGTTCTCCGTACAAGTCCCTGTATGTTATTGTGTTGTTTAAATCAGGAGCTGGAGGACAAAGTCATCACTCTGTTGAAGAATGAGCTGAACAGGTTCAAGAAGCTACTGAGTGCTGATTCCCCAGCATGCTCTGAGGAGATGGAGGAGGAGGATCTGCACTGTTTCAGAGAGGGTGTGCTGAAAATCACACTGCGCATCCTGAAGAACATGAAGCAGAAAGATCTCGCTCACACACTGCAGATCAGTAAGAGCTTTAGATTATTACAATATTCTATCACTTTAAATAACACTGGGCCACTGGTCTATATTTTCATACTGATTTTTATCCTAATGAATACAGTTTTTTAAACAAATAAATGACCCAGAGATAATTCTAATGTTTTGGTTCTTTTACATCATATTTATGTATTTGTTAGGAATGCATTCCAGTTTTTGACTAATATTGATCTTCACACTGTGAATAGTATCCATACATTACAATAATGACCATCACATTTTTCCTGTTTGTTAGAGCTGGCCTCTGTGTATCAGCGAAAGCTCAAATCCAGACTTCTAGATAAATGTAAAAGAATTAATGAAGGAATCTCACAGCATGGGACATCAACACTTCTGAATCAGATCTACACAGAGCTCTACATCACAGAGGGTGGGAGTGGAGACGTCAATAAAGAACATGAGGTGAGACAGATTGAGACAGCGTCCAGGAGACCAGCAGCAGAGGAGACACCCATCAAATGTAATGATCTCTTTAAAGACAAGTCCATCAGAAGAGTGCTGACTAAAGGAGTAGCTGGAATTGGAAAAACAGTCTCTGTGCAGAAGTTCATTCTGGACTGGGCTGAAGGGAAAGAGAATGAGGACATCATCTTCATGTTTCCACTTCCCTTTAGAGAGCTGAATTTGGTGAAGCAGGGGACCTTCAGTCTGATGAGCCTTCTTCATCAGTTTTTCCCTGAAATTAAGGACTTGGAAGTAATAGACAATGATGCCTATAAAGTCCTGTTCATCTTTGATGGTCTGGATGAGTGTCGACTTCCTCTAAATTTCCAGGAGAATGAAATGTTGTGTGATGTGACAGAGTCAGTCTCAGTGGATGTGCTGCTGACAAACCTCATCAAGGGGAATCTTCTTCCCTCTGTTCTCCTCTGGATAACCACTCGACCAGCAGCAGCCAATCAGATCCCTCCTGAGTGTGTAGCCCAGGTAACAGAGGTACGAGGGTTCAGTGATCCTCAGAAAGAGGAGTACTTCAGGAAGAGGATCAGTGATCAGAGCCTGTCCAATAAAATCATCTCACACATGAAGTCTTCCAGAAGCCTCTACATCATGTGCCACATCCCAGTCTTCTGCTGGATCTCAGCCACTGTTCTACAGAGAATGTTGGTTGAAGCAAAGATTGGAGAAATGCCCAAGACTCTGACTCAAATGTTCACACACTTCCTGATCTTTCAGATCAAACACAAGAACCAAAAGTACCATCAGATATGTGACCTTGATCTTCCCCAGGCCAGAGAGAGTATTCTGGCTCTGGGAAAACTGGCTTTCCAACAGCTGGAGAAAGGAAACCTGGTGTTCTATGAGGAAGACCTGAGAGAGTGTGGCATTGATGTCAGAGAAGTGGCAGTGTACTCAGGAGTGTGTACCCAAATCTTCAGAACAGAGTCTGGACTCCACCTGGGGAAGATGTTCAGCTTTGTGCATCTGAGTGTTCAGGAGTTTTTGGCTGCATTATATGCATTTATCTGCTTCCTTGACAAAAACCCAACTAAAGAACAAACCAGTGATCTTTCTGCTCTTTTCACCAAATCAGAAATGTCTGACTTCCTCAAGAGTGCAGTGGATCAGGCCTTACAGAGTGACAATGGACATTTGGATCTTTTCCTCCGCTTCCTTCTGGGCCTCTCAGTGGAGTCTAATCAGGAGCTCATTCGAGGTCTGCTGACACACAAAGGAAACAGCTCTGAATGCCAAAAGGACATAGTTGAGTACATCAAGTCCAAGTTTGAACACAATCCATCTCCAGAGAGATCCATTAATCTGTTCTACTGTCTGAACGAGTTACATGATGATTCACTAGTGAAAGAGATCCAAAGCTACATGAGCTCAGGACGTCTCTCTGAAGCTGAACCCTCACCTGCTCAGTGGTCTGCTCTTGTCTTTGTGTTGCTGACATCAGAGGAGGATCTGGAAGTGTTTGAGCTACAGAAATTCATAAAGTCAGATGAATGCTTTAAGAGACTGCTACCAGTCGTCCAGGAAGCCACAAGAGTTCTGTAAGTAAAACCTGTTTCTCTATTAAACTCACTGTTTAGGAATGAGAGAAAGAGAACTGTTCTGACTGGATTTCACAGCAATACTCCTAACTACTCTTTATAATTTATTCATCCTATATAGGGATGCGTTGTTACTGATACTGGTACCGATTCCAACATCTGATACATTTTCTGATGTGCCATTTTCTCCTTTCAGCCTCAGTGAGTGTAACCTGACAGAGAGAAGCTGCTTGGCTTTACACACAGTTCTCAGCTCAGAATCCTCCAAGCTGACTGAGGTGGATCTGAGCAGTAATCCTCTGGAGGACTCAGGAGTGAAGCTGCTTTGTGCTGGATTGAAGAGTCCAAACTGTAAACTGGAGAAACTGAGGTCAGTTCATTTCTCCTATTGAAAGAGAGAGAATGTTTGTACATTATACAACATCTCTAGCGTTACTTGTTGTAGAGCTGCCAACATTACTAACAATAAACTCACAGCAGGAAAAACAGAATATGATTTGGGTCGGTGCTAAGTGCATGAACTATAAAAATATATCTACAGAAATGTAATAATGAGCAAGGATTTATTTTGTCCTTTGTTTAGACTTTCAGACTGCAGTATAACAGAGGAAGGATACGCTGCTCTGGCTGAAGCTCTGAAATCATCACACCTGATAGAGCTGGATCTCAGAGGGAATGACCCTGGAGCATCAGGAGTGAAGCTGCTCACAGATTTACTACAGGATCCACACTGTACACTGGAGACACTGAGGTGAACAATGTATACTTCACTTTAAAAAAAACATAACAAACATGTTATTGCCATTATTATTGTGAAGAAAGTATACGAAAATTAATGACACTTTTTTTTATGATATTTGAACTGAATGAACTTCTATATTTCTATCATTTTAGCATTTAGCATTTTGAAAATTATTTAATTGAAAAGATTTGATGTCACTATATCACATTGTAATGTTAAGCTGGTTTGCTGATTTGGCCTTCACAATCTCACAAAAATACCGATGTGGCCCAGGCACAATTTGAGCCTGACCACCTACAACTGTAATTGTAACTGTATTGTGTTTTTTTCTCTGCAGTCTGTTGAAAAGTGAGGCAGAGGAAGCCTGTGCTTCTTTAACTGAAGTTCTGGGTCCAAACCCTTTACTGCAGACCGAACTGGATCTGAGTGGGAAAATATCTGGAGACTCAGGAGTGAAGCAGCTCTCTGCTCTACTGAAGAATCCACACTGCAGACCTGAGAGACTCAGGTGTGTGGTCTGATTTCTGCACCTAATCTTCCCCTCTTTGGCAGTAGTGGTGTAGTGTTGAAGCCTCGCAGCTCCAGGGTTCCTGGTTTGATCCTGAACTCAGGGGACTATCTGTGTGAGGTTTCACATGCTCTCCCTCTGGGTTCCTCGAGGTTCTCCAGTTTCCTCCCACCTCCCTGTGCTAAATTTTCCCTAGGTGTGAATGAGTGTGTGAATGTTTGTGATGGACTGGAGTACAGGATTTATTCCCACCTCATGCCCAGTGTTTCTGGGATAGACTCTGCATCCACCACCACCCTGACCAGGATAAACCTCATATTAAAGATGAAGGTTCACTTATAAATCTATAAAGTTCTATTACTATGGTGTATAAACTCCTGCTGGAATCAGTTCTGCTGCACTGAAGGTTCTGGATTTGATGTGATTTGCTGAGGCTCTGATAGAAGTTTAACGCACATTAACAGACTGATGATAAACCATCCACTGCACTGTGTGTACAACCCTGGACATAGCAGTGTTTTCCATTTTCATGATGGTGGGTTATCTGTACTCTATTTGGGCAGTGTTGGCTTAACGGTTGAGGCACTGGGTTACTGACCAGAAGGTTTTGGGTTCAAGCCCCAGCACTGCCAAGCTGCCACTGTTGGGCCCTTGAGCAAGCCCCTTAACCTTCTCTGCTCCAGGGGCACCATAGGCTGACCCTGCACTCTAACCCCAGCTTTTCTTATTTGAAGACGTTTATCTTAGCTGTGTTCTCTGTCTGCAGGCTAAGTAAGAACGGTATTACAGAGAGAGGTTGTACTGATCTGATATCAGCTCTTACTCCAAACCCTTCACATCTGACAGAGCTGGACCTGAGTGAGAATACACTGGGAAATCCAGGAGTGGAGAAGATCTCTACTTTACTAAAGAGTTCATCCTGCAAACTCCAGAAGCTTGTGTAAGTCATTTAATCATTTAATTACTAGATCATGGAGGTGGAATTACATCACTTTAAACATATTTGTGATTGTGGGAATGGATTATTCATCATCAGAGTAGTTAGGATTGTGGTTTTTGTTTGTGTAATGTTCTTCCCAGTTTGGTCACCTTCCCGTTCTAACCCACCAGATAGACACATCTCCCCTATCACGTTACAGCTTAGCTAGTTTCAGGCTAACAGGTGCTGCCTCCCAGATACGTGAAGCCAAGCACATCTTTTCAAACTGCTGGTTATGCTGCATCATAAGGCAGCGTAACACACTCAGAGGAAAGTGCTATCTGCCGTCTTCCACATACACAACCTCACAAATGCCCACGATTGTCTCATGTCACTGTGAATGACAGGGGAGAGACAGTATTCAATTCAATTCAATTAAATTTTATTTGTATAGCACTTTTTACAATAGACATTGTCTCAAAGCAGCTTTACAGAAATGGAAACATGGTATACAGATAATGAAGTTGTGAATTTGAAAAAAAATAAACTGAAAAACTGAGCAAGCCACTGAGTGGCGACGGTGGCAAGGAAATACTCCCTAAGATGTTTTAAGAGGAAGAAACCTTGAGAGGAACCCGACTCAAAAGGGAACCCATCCTCATCTGGGTAACAACCGATAATATGAAAATGTTGATAATGGATTTATACGAAGTCTGTAAGGTCCGGAATTAGAGAAGATTTGAGGTCCATCCAGAGACAAAAAGGATCTGGATCTACAGTATCTCCATAAATTCGTGTGGGGTTCGGCAAAAGGAGACAGGGAGAAAAAAGGTTATTACGACTGAAGCAGTAAGATAGAATCTAGTCAGTGGAGGCTTGAGTAAACAAACACGTTTTAAGCCTAGACTTAAACACTGAGACTGTGTCTGAGTCCCAAACACTAATAGGATGACTTTTCCATAACTGTGGGGTTTTATAAGGTACCGTTAAAATAGCCTGCATCTTTTGATCTAAGTTGGCGTGGCGGATCATATAAAACCAGAAGGTTGCTTAGATATTGTGGTGTGATACCGTTTAGTGCTTTACAGTGCCTTGCGAAAGTATTCGGCCCCCTTGAACTTTTCAACCTTTTGCCACATTTCAGGCTTCAAACATAAAGATATAAAATTTAAATTTTTTGCGAAGAATCACCAACAAGTGGGACACAATTGTGAAGTGGAACGAAATCTATTGGATTTTTGAAACTTTTTTAACTAATAAAAAAATGAAAAGTGGGGAGTGAAAAATTATTCGGCCCCCTTTGCATTAATACTTTTAGAGCCACATTTTGCTGCGATTACAGCTGCAAGTCGCTTGGGGTATGTCTCTATCAGTTTTGTACTTTGAGAGACTGAAATTCTTGCCCATTCTTCCTTGCAAAACAGCTCGAGCTCAGTGAGGTTGGATGGAGAGCGTTTGTGAACAGCAGTTTTCAGCTCTTTCCACAGATTCTCGATTGGATTCAGGTCTGGACTTTGACTTGGCCATTCTAACACCTGGATACGTTTATTTGTGAACCATTCCTTTGTAGATTTTGCTGTATGTTTGGGATCATTGTCTTGTTGGAAGATAAATCTCCGTCCCAGTCTCAGGTCTTTTGCAGACTCCAACAGGTTTTCATCCAGAATGGTCCTGTATTTGGCTGCATCCATCTTCCCCTCAATTTTAACCATCTTCCCTGTCCCTGCTGAAGAAAAGCAGGCCCAAACCATGATGCTGCCAACACCATGTTTGACAGTGGGGATGGTGTGTTGAGGGTGATGAGCTGTGTTGCTTTTACGCCAAACATATCGTTTTGCATTGTTGGCAAAAGTTCAATTTTGGTTTCATCTGACCAGAGCACCTTCTTCCACATGTTTGGTGTGTCTCCCGGCGTGGCAATGTGGCACTTTAGACGAGACTTTTTATAGATATCTTTGAGAAATGGCTTTCTTCTTGCCACTCTTCCCATAAAGGCCAGATTTGTGCAGTGTACGACTGATTGTTGTCCTATGGACAGACTCTCCCACCTCAGCTGTAGTTCTCTGCAGTTCATCCCGAGGTGATCATGGGCCTCTTGGCTGCATCTCTGATCAGTCTTCTCCTTGTCTGAGCTGAAAATTTAGAGGGACGGGCCGGGCGAGGTTAGTATTTGCAGTGGTCTGATACTCCTTCCATTTCAAAATGATCGCTTGCACAGTGCACCTTGCGATGTTTAAAGCTTGGGAAATCTTTTTGTATCCAAATCCGGCTTTAAACTTCTCCACAACAGTATTACGGACCTGCCTGGTGTGTACCTTGGTCTTCATGATGCTCTCTGCGCTTTCAACAGAACCCTGAGACTATCACAGAGCAGGTGCATTTATACAGAGACTTGATTACACACAGGTGGATTCTATTTATCACCATCAGTCATTTAGGACAACATTGGATCATTCAGAGATCCTCGCTGAACTTCTGGAGTGAGTTTGCTGCACTGAAAGTAAAGGGGGCCGAATAATTTTGCACGCCCCACTTTTAATTTTTTTACTAGTTAAAAAAGTTTCAAAAATCCAATAGATTTCGTTACACTTCACAATTGTGTCCCACTTGTTGGTGATTCTTCACAAAAAATTTAAATTTTATATCTTTATGTTTGAAGCCTGAAATGTGTCAAAAGGTTGAAAAGTTCAAGGGGGCCGAATACTTTCGCAAGGCACTGTAGTTAACATCCAACGTCTAATGTCCTTTACACAATCCTCGACTTTACTAAGCTTCTGTCTGTCCTCTGGCTTCGCTGAAACATACAACTCTGTATCATCAGCATAACAGTGGAAGCTAATTCCATGTTTAGAATAATTTGTCCAAGGGGTAACATATATAAAGTAAAAAGCAGTGGGCCTAAAACAGAACCATGTGGAACTCCCAAAGTAACCTCAGTACGCATGGAGAAATCTACGACCTGATAACGATCGGTCAGATAATACCTGAACCAAGAGAGGACTGTTCCCTTAATGCCAACAACATTTTCTAATCTATCAAGGAGAATAGTGTGTATAATCTAATAGTATAATCTATAGTATCAAAAGTTGCACTAAGGTTGAGTAACACAAGCAGCGAGACACAACCCTGATCAGAGGTCAATAGAAGGTCATTTACTACTTTAACTAAAGCTGTATCTGTGCTATGATGAGGTCTAAATCCTGACTGATACGTTTCATGAATGTTGTTCCTATCTAAGTATGAGCATAACTGCTTTGCTACAACCTTTTCTAAAATCTTAGAGATGAAGGGGAGATTTCATATTGGGTATGCCCCTCCCATCCTGAGAGCATGCCTAGTTTTGTTTCTTTGGCTCCCGTCCACAGATGGCATTACATAGATTCAGTCTCTCAGTCTCGTGATGTTAGGGCGAGCGCTTTTCCTGTTGCACCACAAAGGAGCCCATGTTACTCTTTTTACACTAAACAGTTCTCCTCTTTCTCCAGACTTTCAGACTGTAATATTAAACAGGAAGGATATGCTGCTCTGGCTGAAGCTCTGAAATCAAACCCCTCATCACACCTGATAGAGCTGGACCTCAGAGGGAACGACCCTGGAGACTCAGGAATGAAGCAGCTCAGGAATTTAATAAATGATCCAAAATGTAACCTGGAGATACTGAGGTGAGTTTTCCCAGTATTTGTAAAATCCAGCCTTAAATTGTGAGTAATTTCTGTTGATTAGTAACACTGGTCAGACTGCTTCACTTTCACTGTTTACACCACTGTATAGCTGATCAGAACATATCTCTGAAGAACAAACACTTTTTCATGTTGTCACAAGTTCCCCTTTATGCAGCGCGCTGTGGAGCATGTGAGCGTGCGTGCACGAGCAGGTGCACGAGCAGCTGCTTTTTCCCTTGTGGACAATCGTGACATTTGTTTATGTTTCTGTTATGTCTCCTCCCCGTCCTGTCATTGGTTGTTGTTTCATGTGTGTCTGAATTGCCCTCAGCCATTACAACGCTGATTATGTCCGTATATATATACCGCGCGCTTCCCAGCACACAACGCGGAATATTGATTTGAATGAATGCGTTAGTCATAGTCATAGTTCGTTAGTTTAGTTCACGCTGGTTTCTCCGCTACCAGTCCCTCGCTGTAGTTTGTTTCATGTTTGTATCTCGACCCTCTTTTCCGTGACCACGACCTTGATTCCTGCCTAGCCCCGTGTATGTCTATTTGCCGATCGCCTGAACTTTATATGTTACTGGATTACGTTTATGGATCATGTTTTGGATTTGTCTGCCTCTCTCTCCTAAATAAAACGTTCATACTGCGCTTGCATCCGTCTCACCTTCTTCACGTCACGAGATGTGACAGATTAATCCGCCACACCATGGATGCAGCAGGAAGACAGGGGAGACATCACGCCACAATGAGAGTAGCAGAACAATACCATCTCAGGAAATGTTGGAGTTTCTCTTCGGCTGCCAGGAATATTTTTGCAGCCTGACATATCCCAAGCCTACTAAGAGACAATGGATCGGGTTCTTGGTGTCCAGGTTTTGCGGTCCAGCCCATGACTGGGTGGAGCAGCTGGTGAGTGCTGGGTCCTCAGCCCTCCATGATGTTACTCAGTTTTCAGAACTTTTTATGGAGGAATTCATGCAGCCAGGACAACTTCATGGTCTGGATTTACTTGGGACTTGGGTGGAGAGTCAATGGACAGCCC